GCTTCTGACACAAGTATTTTCATACTTAAAAGAAGTTCACCTGCAATGATATATATATATATATAACCTAGATAAAGTTAAGTCAATAAATATTATTCATTTATTATTTATTTTTACTTATATCATAAATACGAACAACTTCGCAGAATTGTACAACTTAAACAACAACTGTTGTTCCATCGTCAGATTTTACTTCCACATAAAAATAAAAGTATTTAAGTAGATCGCGGTAAACGTTGATCACTCCGTGCAAAACGCTGTAGCGTCGGAGAGGATGCTTGTACGTCTGAACGTGGTCTGAACCTTGGTCTGAACTTACTACCAAACAGATATAAAAATAATTTTAAAAGAACTAAGTTTTTTTTCCATCATAAGATTGATATTATACAATTACAATTTATTTTCTATATTTATAATTTATTACATTATTATTTAATATACAGTACGACGAAGAAATCAATTTGAATAAACTCCATTACATAATCTGTCCATTAAAATAGGAGCTAAAAGAGCGCGTCGCTATTAGCTTCTAGTGAAAATTACTTGAACACAAGAGTGATGGAGTAGTCAACGTCAATATTAATTAATTTTATAGTATTATGTTGAATTTTATATGAATTCACTTCAAGTAATAAGAGTTGTGCAGATATATAGGTACATACAAATATTGTAAATGTGAAAATAGTTGTCTCTCTGTTGGTAGTTATGACGTGCTGTAAGAAATGTATTGACGTTTCGAATTTTTAGATTCCAGCTAGACATAAACTCGGAAGTTTCATAATCTCGAAAACCGATTATTTTGGTTGCTTATTACAAAGAAAAGTTGAAGTTAGTTTGTTTTGTAATATTAATAATAAGTAACCTAATAAGTACATTTGGGATTACAAAAATTCGAGCAAACATATTTTCGGATTTCTGATTGATACAACGAATACAACAATGTTTTGTTAGTTATTTATTACTAACATTTTATTAAAAGTCATTTTAAAAATAAGATTAACAACTCTATAGTTTCTTTGTTCTAAATCTAAATATATCAATCGCTTGGGGTTCGAAAATTGAAATTGACGTAACGGGTCTCTTTCTGTCTTTTGCGCATATTGTCTTGTGTAGGATAAGGACAGTTAGCTATTTGGTTATTTTTTATTGCTTTTGTAATTTACGTGTAAAAAACAAATATGTACTCGTATATGCACTTTTTAATTTTGTTTATACAGTATGGCATGATATATAATAAACAATTACAATTTATTTTCATTATTTATAATTTCTTACATTATTATTTAATATACAATACAACGGAGAAATCGATTTGAATAAACTTCGTTACATAATCTGTCGATAAAAATAGGAGCTAAAAGAGCGAAGCGCTTCTCTATAACGAAAAGACAGCGTTCATGAAGTACTGCATTTTTGTCGATAGTTGCCTGTTAGTAAATAGGGACTTCATAGGCATGACTATGTCAAATGTTTTCAAATATTTTTTATGTAATTGATAAATTGAATCCATCCATATTCCATATTTTGAAAAAATATCATAGAATAGAAAATTGGCAATTAATGTAAAAAATAGGCTTATGTATGGAATGTGATTCCACCCTTGGCTAGTCTGGATGACTGCAGCAGAGATTTTTTTGCAAGTTTATGTAGCTCAAGACGACATGTTTCGTGGAGTACTTGGCGCGGTGAATTCGATAATGGAAATGAAAAAATATCGATTCGGAAGAAGTGTTTATTGTGCAATGGATGTTTTTTGCTTGCACTATGACAGAGGGGACTGCCTATCGATGACGCCTCCAGTCCTATAAGCTGTAAGACAGATATAGTCACAGACTATTAGATGCTAAGACATAGTAGACAGAAACTGAAATGACAGAAATAAAAATAAATTAACCAACTACTTGATGCGTAAAGGAACATTTATCCATATAGATTTACACCCCAAGATTCGATCAATCCAATCGGTTAATGTGTATCTTCTTATCTTGCATCAGTACGTGTGCATACACCGTAGATCGATTGCTTTTGTTATATGCATTGCGTGATGTTTTTAGAGCAATTGTTCAAATTTTGTTTCGTTGCTATTGATGTTATCAGCAGCAGCAGTCTATTGTATTCCACTGCTGAACATAGGCCTCTCCCAATGCGCGCCATTTCGCCCGGTCCTCAGCTTGTAGCACTCATCTGCTGCCAGCAGCCGCAGCCCTTCGCAAATTGTCAACAGAGGGTGTCCTACACTTCGTTTGCTGGGCCGCGGTTTTGATTTTATGGTGTTTTTGTAAATTTTTTGTTTGGTTGTTGATAATTTTTTGTTGTATAGTTTTTAATAACTTAATAACATAATAGTTGAATCATTTTTATTTTATTTATTAATTTGTTATTAAACTAGTATCTAAATCGATTCTCTCCTCGTTATGAACTATCTCGATAATACATTTAAATCGATTTATTTTATTACAATTTTACATCACTACATCTCTAGAAACTTCAAATCTCAAACATCACCGTACCTGTGAAATGGACTTTTTATGAAAGAACTTCAGTCCTTTGAACCACTTTGCTTGATTAAATTACGTAGAATAATGTGATAATTATCAAGAAACATACATTTTGGTTGGACTGTGCGAAAGGGACAGTATGGAAACTGCACTTTTAAAAACTGGAAATCCACAGTGTCCCCTTTCCTACGGTCTGACCCAAGTTCCTGTTTGGATATCACTTTTTGGTCTGGTGAGTCATGCAATTTATTTATTTATTTAATTTATTTAAGAACATTTGTTTTAACTTGGTGTTCTTTCAGGTTCCAAGGAAAAAACACATCATTATTTTTGTCTCCCCTTCAAAAATGATATATAACTAAATATTGCAATAATATATTTAGTCTGCAATAATGTCACATTCAGAGCAACAGCCTTATATGAAAGTTGAAAGAATAAAAGAGGAAAAGTGCAAGTCAAAAGAGAATCCTTTTGATCCAAACAGAAATTTCAAACAGGAGCCTGTGGGCTATCAGGAAGATGAAATCATAATGAAAGAGCTCTATGCAACAAGAGCGCATTCAATGCAACAACCTTATATAAAAATCGAGAGCATAAAGACAGAGACAGAGACGTCAAATGAGAGTACCTTGGATTCAAAAGGATTTGTCAAACAAGAGCCTATTGGTGTTCAAGAAGATGAAATCATTACGAAAGAACTGTATGCTACAATGTTCCATCCAGAGAAACAATTTTATATAACTATTGAAAACATAAATGAAGAAGTAAGGCAGTCAAAAAAAAATCCCTTGGATCCAAACAGAAATGTCGAACAAGACCCTGTTGGGGAACTAAGAGAAGAAAACATCACAAAACAGCTTTACGCAGGTCATGAAATCAAGGATGAGATGGTCATAGGACCTGTGGTGTTACAGTGTGCTGATAAAGCTGAAGCAAACTGTGTGCAGAGCACATGTGCCAAGGTGAATTATGTTACTCGTATCAGAAAGAAACTCTTTAAGTGTAATTTTTGCAGCAAATGCCTAACAACAAAACAAAGTTTAAAGGTTCATGAAATTACTCATACTGGAGAGAAACCATACAAGTGTGAAATTTGCCACAAATATTTTACAACAAAACAAAATTTAAATGTTCACATAATGACTCATACTGGAGAGACACGTTATAAGTGTGATATTTGCTACAAATGTTTTAAAACAAAACTAAGTTATAAGTTGCATGCAATGAATCATACTGGAGAATCACCATACAAGTGTGATATATGCAACAAATGTTTCAAAATAAAACAATATCTTAAAGACCATATTTTCACCCATACTGGAAAAAACCTTTTTAAGTGTCAGCATTGTAACAAGTTTTTTCTTACAAATAGTCTTCTTAAGCAACATTTAATTATTCATGCTGGACAGAATCTGTTCAAGTGTGATGTATGCAACAAATGCTTAACAACGAAACGAAATCTTAAAGTGCATGTAATGACTCACACTGAAGTGTCACCATACAAGTGTGATATTTGCAATAAAAGTTTTAGTAATCAACGCTATCTTAAGGCGCATGTACTTACTCATAATGGAGAGTCACCATTTAAATGTGATATATGCAACAAATGTTTTAGTAAACGATGCTATCTTAAAGCGCATCTACTAGTTCATACTGGAGAGTCACCATTTAAGTGTGATATTTGCAACAAATGTTTTACTAAACAATGCTATCTTAAGGCGCATGTATTGATTCATACCGGAGAATCACCATTTAAGTGTGATATTTGCAACAAACTTTTAACAACAAAACAAAATCTTAAAAGGCATTTAATGACTCATACTCAAGAGCCACCATACAAGTGTGATATTTGCAACAAATGTTTAACAACAAAAAGAAGTCTTAGAAGGCATGTAACAAATCATACTGGAGAGTCACCATTTAAGTGTGATATTTGCAACAAATATTTAACAACAAATCAAAATCTTAAAAGGCATATAATGTCTCATACTAAAGAGTCACCATACAAGTGTGATTATTGCAACAAATGTTTTAAAATAAAACAGTACCTCAAAGAGCATATTTTAAGGCATGTTGAAAAAAAAACTTAATTTAATGTTACCATAAAGAATTCTTTTTTTTTGAGAGGAAGTTATCTTAATAGACATTATAACCCAAACAAGAAACGTGCTAGATGTGGATAATATAATTATTATTGTAGTAATTTAAAAATTTCTTGTCTGTTTTCATGCTCTGCGATTGATTGTGGGTTTAGTCATAAGAGTATATATATATCGATTTAATGTCGTATGTCCCCGATCGTTGATCCGAATGATGACAGTATTATTTACGAGAAAGTGATAATGCTAAGTAATCCAATAAGACCATTTTGCTGTGCATGTAATCTCTAATTGCTTTAAAAGAAAATTTTTTTGTTATAAACATTTACTGCCTCGCACTCAAAAGCAGCAATAAAATTTGATTTTGCAACAGATTTTTTTTTTATCAAGGAAATTTTTAACCCTCTAAGTATCTACAATGTATCTCGATTATTATTGAAAAGCGCTGCTAATCGGAAGTTTACTGTTCTGGCTGTTGATATTGTTTTGCTCTAATCTATAAATTTACAAATGTTTCAGAAACGCAATTCTCCTTTATCTCCATTTTTCATTGTTTTTAGAAGATTGTACAAACAAAACTTATTCGATTTGGGGAGGGGTTTTTCAACTTTCCGTCGTAATCAGCTGTTTTATTATTCACAATCACAAGTATAATATGTTACCGGGAAATTATGTAATCCGGTATTCCATACAATACTTTTAGGTATTCTACACAATACCTGAAATATTCAGGCAATGTATGAAATAAACTCTATTATAGACTCGGTTTAGGTATTCTATACAATGCCGAACATGCATCAGGCATGCACAATGCAATGTCCTAATAGGAAGTGCTTGTGTGTTAAGAAGAATATTTTATGCACATCCAAGTGTCACGATAGTTCATCTTGTAAGCAATATACCTAGGTAATTAGAAGAATTGGCAATTAAATTACTAAATATCATATTTGTTTACGAAAAAAGCAAATTTTTTCGAACAAAATTGGACCAATATCTAAAGAGGACCGCCAATCTCTCGGCTAAAATCTGGTGACGCTGATCGATAGCCTGGAAGTAGTTTACATTATGTAAATGGCCTGGGATATCAATTAATCCTCTAATATGAAATATAAGTAGTCAGTTTTTTCCTTGTATATTGATACAAGGAAAAAACTGATTTCTAGATGTATAGTTCTTTAATTATACTCAAGTCCTGACTTGACCAGTCAACCGTGACCATGGGGCTTGTAAAGGGCCCGAAACGTCGGTTTGTTTGAAAAAACAAATATACGTGATTTAAATCCGTAAAAAATAGTTTCATTTCCTAACCAATTGTCATTATTATTATTATGTTTGATAGTTTCTTAGTTAACAAAAAATAGGCTGTATGTATGGCATCTACCATTGCCTTTCTCTCAATGCGAAGATTTAAAAAACGTAAAAAAATAAACAAATTTATGCGTCCCGAAGGAGTAGGCATAATTTTAGCAAAATACACTTTATTAGCAATAAATTAAGTGGAATAATGTGGTAATCATCAAAAACTATACATGTCTGTGCTGTGTGATGATCAAATGGAACTTATATACAAGAACAGCTTGGTTTGGACTAGGTAAAATTTGTACTAAGCATTTGTATCTTATTCCGAACATAATATACGTTATTGGACCTAATATTAACATTTAAAAAGACTAATATTTGGAACGTATTTCTACATTCTTAGACATTCGCACTTTATTAAACTTTCAAATTGAGAAAAACACATAAAAGTACTTTCTGTTTACATTTTCGAAGTAAACACCAGAATGACATTGAAATTCCTAAAGACTTAATTCCCTTATCTATCGTAAAAGTTAGTTAACCTGTGCCTTTGATATCATCCGATCAAACCCGTATAGAACTGCCATATAGCTAGTGCAAAATAAGGCCAAAATGGGCCAAGATTTTAGAATATCTGACAACGAATTGGCCGTCGATATTATTTTTAGTAGTAGACCAAGCCAAAATGAAGTCTCTCACTAACTTTCAGTTTTAGGAAATCAATGGTTACCGGGAAAATAATTTTTGAATGAAAATCTAAAAAAACATTTGACTGCTTGACACTTGTGTCTGCAAAAATTGCTCCATAAAAGCACAGCGATGGAACTTTGTGTTGCGTTTTGCAATTCCAAAAACACGCTATACGTGTTGTTTAAATTTGATATTATTATGATCAGGTATAACAAGAATATAATTATGATGATATTACGGATTTTTTAAATTTCTTTTATCTTGTCATTTTAATACAAATATTGTAATAACACAATAAAACCTTGTGTAAAAATTAGACTTATATGATACATTAGGCTCTATTATAAATTCGTACTATTCGTTATGCAAAAATTTGTATTTGACGAAACTAAATGCGACACTCTAGTAAAAAAGAGATAAGTATGGTAACTCCGTACAAAGTAAAACGCATATTACACTACCTGATATCAAGGGCCCTGCATCAAAGGTAGGCGCGTCCCTAGTTTTGGCCCCGCTCTTATTAATTTTAAATACGCCGCCCATATTAGGGACCTAAAGCGCAGGCCACACCGCAAACGAAGCTAGCTAACTTAGCTTAGCTCACGTAGTTGCATGCAACCACCTTTTTTTTAATGTCAGGAAATCCTTGTGGATACCAGTGTTGGGCGTTAATCAATTAAATTTCAATCAATAATTCAATCAGATTAAAAAATCAATTGCAATTAAATTAATTGCGACGCGTCGCAATTGGGGGCCCCAGTTGGGAGCCCCGGTTGAGGCCCCAGTTGGGGGGCCGGTTGCGGGCCAACAGGCCCCTTAACTGGCCCCAAGAAGGGCCCCCAAGCGGACCCCCAACAGGCCCCTTGACTGGCCCCAAGAAGGGCCCCCAACCGTGCCCCCAACCGGGCCCCCAACCGTGCCCGCAACAGGGCCCCCAACCGGGGCCCCCATAACCAACGCCCTAACTCACCCCCATATGCCCTATAAATTTATCATAATTGTCAGTTTTAATCGTTAATTGTTAATCAAAAACATTGAAAAGATTGAAAATTGATTAATTGTTAATTGTAGATATTTGCGATTAACGATTGATCAATAATTGTTAGTTGCGAGAACCGCAATTAACAATTGATTAATTGTTAATTGTGGTTCTCGCAACTAACAATTGATCAATCGTTAATTGCTGTTTCGCAATTGACAATTAATTAGTTGTCAATCTTTAATTGCCAGAACAATTAAATTTTGCCCAACACTGATGGATACCCTCCGCCCGGGGGAGGTGAAGAGCTATTTCGGACACCTACCGACTAAAACCTGAAGGTGTTCCATCTCCTGACCATGTGCCGAAGTCACGGGGACGCTTGCGCATTCTTCCGCGACTCCGACGGCACCGAGCCCCATCTCGATTTTCGGGGAGAGTTCTTGTCTCCCCTTCAGCAATCTTGAGAGACAGACGTGGAACACGTACGCCGCCATCTCGAGTCCACCAGTAACGAGTGATGGACTCTCCTAAGTCTGCCGCTCATAGACCTGTCACGGGAGCTTTCGCCACCCGTTACTCATCTATGTCGGCAGCTGGAGAGCCATAGCTCTCCTACTGCGACGCACTCTCCGACAGCGAATCGGGTCAGGGGCTGTATCTTCCCTTTCGCTTACCGCCGCCTCCTTCCGCACCACGGCCTTCTCGCAAAAAAAGGACTGCGTCTCACGATCTTTTGCTTTCAGACATGGCTACATGCTAACTTAGCTCACCTAGTTGCATGCAAAGCTTTTTTTTGCGTGGGGAAATCCTCCTCTCCACCGCGGGGGCAGCGGGAGGTTATGCCAGACTTCTACCGGCTAAAACCCCACGATGGCCTTCTCGGGTGCTCTAGTAGGAAGGATCCGGGATCGACTTGCGCACCGGAATCCCCCCAGCACCTAGGAGGAGCTACGTCCTCCCCCTCCTCTCCACACGACGAAGCGGGCCACACCGCCCCCTCGTCCTCCTCGCGGCTGCCTAACGTGCTGGCGAACGAAGCCCCCGCTCCGATCGCGCGCTGCCGCGAAGGTACGCCGCCGCCGAGCGGGATCGGCCCTCTCCCGATCACGCTCGGCGACCTCCTTCTGAAGCATCACCGCTTCACAGAAGCAGACCACTGCCTCATGGGACTCCTGATCCGCCAACATGTGACGGTGTGACCTCCTTACACCGTCATCTCACCTTTTTGTATCGCCTCTCCCCGCTTGTATCCTATCTTTTTTTTTATTTTACAAATTTTAAATTTGAGTTGTTCCATCTTCCTTCACTTTCTCATTTTGTTTTCGTACCACGGTCACTCCCAGCTCGACCGCTACAACAGTCGGAGCTGTTTCAAATTCCATTTACTAAAATCTTATTTTTGAATCTTTACCAAGTTATAATACAAAACATATAATACAACAATCGGAGCAAAATAATTATCAAAAATTTGCTGCAATAGTTTTTCGACCAAAAATGAAGCCATAAACCCGGATGTAATGGTGCCGCCATTGAAACCTTGGCTATTACACGAATATAAAGATTTGTACAGACGCTTTCTGGCGCTTTTCAAACATAGCCGCTACTATGCCTGGCGGAGAGAGATCTCGCCCGATCCGGGCAACCAGGATGTTCCGCTCGGAGGTCCATGCGGGGCACTCCTCCAGTGTGTGCTGGGCGGAACCCTGGTCCCTCCCACAGTGGTGGCACTGCATCGTCGACTCGCGTCCGATCCGATTCAGATACTCACCGAAGCATCCGTGTGTGGTGGGTACAAGACCAATAAATTCGCATAATAATGAAAGGCGCGTTGGGACGACCAGCATTACGCAACGCAAGTGCACCGCGAGCACACCCCGGACACTTGTTTTAAGCAAATAAAATTTCATTTCATTTAATTAATTACGACTACTATAGTACAGCAAGGCGCTGTTTGCACACACGCCAATGTGTGCGTGAACCTACCACTTCACGCATTATTCACTACTTAGAATAAATAGTTCACGGAACTATTTATTCTCTGGTTTAACGTGCGACTTCGTAAGAATAAATGAACGTATTGTTGTGTAAATAACATGATCATTACGTACACTAATAATTTTATTTATTAAATACTAAAACAACCGTAAATTCGTAACACAAATAAGTAGCTTAAACAAAAGATTTCACATAATAGGTGAATAACACTACCATTAATTACCTACACTAAAATATTTTCTTTTAAATAAAATTAAAGTGTTAAATAGTCTGTTATGAAATCACATTATCTTAAAATTTCGAAACTTGAACATCAAAAAACGGCTCGCTGACAGCCTTGTTGCCATCCCGACAATGTGAACGTCAATATACGGGGCGCCATGTGGTATCTAAACTAGGGGGTGACTTTTCTCGTTACTTTTTATTCCCTATCGCAAGTCGAGTATGCGAATGCGTGCGTCCATACACGGCGCGCGACAGGCGCGCACTGCCGTGCTGCTATGTTTGTATGGAGTTACCACACTTGTCTTAAACTACGACAACGCCACATTGTCAATTTTTTTATTAAGCTTTGGCTGAAGTGTTTCAACTTTAAAATTTTATATAAACGTGGAAGTCTCTGAAAATGTACCATGTTACAATATTTAACTTAAACTTTTTATTCTTTCAGGTTTCAAGGAAATAACACATTATTAGTAATATCTCTTTAAAATGATACATAAGTGAATATTGGCGATTAATACATATATATAGTTTGCAACAATGTCACATCAAGAGCAACACATTTATATAAAAATTGAAAGCATGAAAGAAGAGGAAGACGAGACAAACGAGAGTCCCGTGCCAAAAGAAGAAACCGTTGGTGATCTAGAAGATGGAACTGTCGCAAACGAGGTGCATGCGACAATGTCACATCCAGAACAACAATTTTATATAACAATTGAAAGTACAAAAGAAGAGGTAGGCGATTCAAAAGCGGATCCCTTGGGCCCAAGCAGAAATGTTAAACAAGAGCCTGTTGGTGATCTAGAAGAAGAAATCATCACAAAAGAGCTGTATGCAGGTCATGAAATGAAGGAAGAGATGGTCATGGGACCTATGGTTTTGCACCGTTCTACTGTGGCTGAAGTTAACTCTATACAAAGTACATGTGTTAATGAGAAAAATAACACTCATATCGGAAAGAATCTCTATAAATGTAACATTTGCGAAAAATATTTTAAAACAAAACAACGTCAAAAGGTGCATACAATGATTCATACCGGTGAGACACCACACAAGTGTGAAATTTGCTGTCAATATTTTACAACTAAACAACATTTAATGGTTCATGTGGTTACTCATAATGGAGAGAAACTGCACAAGTGTGATATTTGCAGTAAATGTTTTAAAACTAAACGAAGTTATAAATTGCATACGATGACTCATACTGTTGAGTCGCCTTTTAAGTGTGATATTTGTAATAAATGTTTTAAAATTAAACAATATCTCAAGGAACATATTTTAAGGCATACTGAAAAAAAAATTTATGAATGTCAACAATGCAACAGGTCTTTTCTTAGAAAGGTTGAACATAATCAACACTTATTGACTCATATTGAAAAGATACCATATGTATGTGGTATTTGCAACAAATGTTTTAAAACGAAACGAAGTTATAAGTTGCATGCAATGTCTCATACTGGAGAGTTACCATACAAGTGTGATATTTGCAACAAGTCTTTCAAAATGAAACATTATCTCAAAGAGCACATTTTAAGACATAATGGAAAAAAACTTTATGAATGTAACCACTGTAGCAAGTCTTTTCTTAGTAAGGGTGAATACAATAAACATTTAATAAGTCATACTGACGAGACACCATACAAGTGTAGCATTTGCAATAAACGTTTTAAACTGAAACAATACCTTAAAGAACACATGTTAAGACATACTGGAAAAAAAAATTACGAATGTCACCACTGCAAAAAGTCATTTCTTAGTAAGGGTGAATGTGATAAACATTTAATGACTCATACTGAAGAAACACCTCACAAGTGTGATATTTGTAATAAATGTTTTAAAATGAAACGAAGTTATAAGTTACATGTAATGACTCATACTGGAGAGTCGCCATACAAGTGTGATATGTGCAACAAATGTTTTAAAACAAAACAATATCTCAAAGAGCATATTTTAAGACATACTGGAAAAAAACTTTATGAGTGTCACCACTGTAACAAGTCTTTTCTTAGTAAAGGTGAACATAATAAGCATATAATGACACATACCGAAGAGACACCATACAAGTGTGAAATTTGCAACAAATGTTTCAAATTAAAACAATATCTCAAAGAGCATGTTTTGAGGCATACTGGAAAAAAACTTGAAAATGATCAGCACTGGAACAAGTCTTTTCTCACAAAACGTAAACATAATCAGTGTTTAATAAGTAATGCTGGAGACCTACCATACAAGTGCGATATTTGCAACAAACGTTTTAAAATAAAACAATATCTTAAAAAGCATGTTTTAAGGCACACTGCCAAAAAACTTTATGAGTGCCACCACTGCAACAAATGTTTTTTTAGTAAGAGTGAACATAATAAACATTTAATGACTCATACTGACGAGACACCGTACAAATGTGATATTTGCAACAAATGTTTTAAATTAAAACAATATCTCAAAGAACATGTTTTAAGGCATCCTGAAAAAACATGACTATCACCACAGGAACAAGCCTTGTCTTAGAAAGGGTAAACATAATTAATATTTAACACTTGAGAGAAACCATTCAAGCTTGATATTAGCAACACACAAATGCCATCTTCAGGTACGTTTATTGATTCATGCTGGCATCAAAGCAACAAGTCGAATTAGAATGCGTGAACATTTTTACATTATTTCTGGCGTGACGAACTGGACGCCTACAATAAAGCTTGGGTCCAGTTAGTTCAGGATCGGGATGCGTTTGGCCAGCAGTGGGATATATCAGGCTAATTGTAATTATTTCTACAACATTGCCATAAAATTATGACTTTTAAACCAGAATACTTGTTGTATGCATATACTGCCCTCAAAATATTATTGACGTAATTGGAGCAAAACGTCTTTTATGCCTTACGACGAACAAGTCCGCCTCTATACTCACGGCAAACATGCCAGACGCGCTACACCGCCAAAATAGTCGCTGCACTAATGCGCACGAAACGCATTGTCGTATTGTACGGTGGTTTAAATGTTCGCTTAGTATACTGATACCACAGCTTATTAATCACGCCATTTAGTTTTTTAAGGACGTAATATATCATTGTAATACTTGTTATTTAGCTATGTATTCATTTTACTAGTTTATATATTCATTTTATTACTTTAGTGAACTGTAATTTGTTTTAAGAGTATTTTTTTCATTTATGCAACATATATAAGATTAATATGAGGAATAAAAATGAATTGACTGATTTTGACAATGGTTTTTACAGTCACAAATTCGTATAAGGGGTAGTGTATACGCTTGTGTAATAAAGTAATAAGGTACCGGTTGATATTCAAAATTTGCCTTTGACTATAGTAAATCAAAAACTTATGCAAAACATTATAACTATGTAGCTCTTTTCCATTTATTTCAAATGATATGGAAATATGAAAATGTCGATTTACAAGAAATAACACCTTGGATTCTCAGTCATTATTCTCGGGGGAATCTGCCTTATGAACAAGCAGTAAATTTAAAACAATTGACCATTTCAAATGTAATTTGCTAAGCTTTGCAATAAAAACATTTTTTAAATTTTGTATTTTTTGTCTTGTCACTATCACATGCATTGAAAATTTGTTCGGACTATTAATTTGGAGTTTAATCATCTCTTAAGCGAGGCCTATGTCCAGCAGTGGACTACGATAGGCTGTTGATGAGATATATGTTTAGACACGGTTCTTAATGCTTTTTTGCGCCTTAAAGCTACATAGCCAACAAAAAATAATGTCAATGATCCGCATTAAGCAAGACTTGGCTGTACGGTTTTGAACCTTTGACTTTTCAGTAGCTTGAAGAATTAAAAACAAGCGCTTCACAATCACAACCACAAACTACTATTATAATACAAGAATCACAACTTCAACTTTTGTATCTATGGCCTTGTCTAAGTTTTGCTTTCTTGCTTTTTCTCTATTTGGCAATATAAATTATAAAAATTTAATTGGAATAATGATTTAATTAACAAGGAATATACACATTGCTCAGCTGTGTCATCCTATGTGATTCAATTTGGGTAGACACCAAATATTTGTATACAAGAACCGTCTGCTCCGTGAAGGGGCGTGTAAGGTAAAACTCTTGCTGTGTCTAGTTTTCTTATTAACATACCAAAGTAATAAATTAAAAGTAGCATAGAAGTAAAGTCTTCGTTAACTGATGTAAGCGTCATCTCGGCGCCGAGTTTCCCGTTGGATATCACTGCCCAAAAAATTTCTATGGCAAGGCAATAAGCAACATTTCAGTAATTTTCAGGTAAGTTTTTTGTACTCAATTTTGGTGACTATTTTTATTATTTATTACTCGAATATATCATCGTGAAATATTAAAGAATATTTCAGGTTACTACACTCAAATATTAAATAATACTTCATGATGATATTCAATAAATATTTAAATAAAAAGAAATTGTCACCAAAATTGAGTACCAAATACTTACCTGAAAATAACCCATTTACACTATGTACATCAACTCAATCATACGTCCCTCTACTGTACACGAGTTCTCTGTTAGGCGACGGCGTCAGGGTTTAGATTTGAGCCAGAGTGGAAAGTCCTCCATGCTGGCCCAATGCGGGTTGGGAACTTCACACGTCCTCCAAGGGTCTTGTGAACCTTCTTCAAAATGCAGGTTTCATCACGATGATTTCCTTTACCGAAAAGCTCATGGTAAATTTAAAATAAAATTTTGCGCACAAATTCCATATTCAAACCCGCCACATCTGCTTGAGAGGCAGTAGGTCAAATCATTACAGCGTTTGCGTGACTTACTTCTGATTCGTATCAGTTCCGAATCCCCGAATCCAAGACATGACGGTCTGAAATGTCACAAGGATTATTTTTTATCTCTACATGTACACGCGATACTCATATTTCCTCAGATTCAAATTCGACTTAGTGCACAGGCGACATCATAAGTGGAATCCTAGTTTTCTAGATTTGTTTGTGCACTTAGGCTACACTACTTTAATAAAAGACTAAATCGTTTACAATATGATATCTTAAAGAAAGTTGACAACTAGAAAAAGGACACACATGGAATGTGTAAAAACACTTGATAATAAAATCAAAGATCTGCAACAATGTTCTCGTAGTGCCTGATTTGAAGTCAGGAATGTTCCAGCAAAAGAAGAATTCTCTACAATGCCAATCTTCATAAGTCATTATATACGAGATGACATCGCCCAGCGGTTTATACTGTTGAGTCTGGATGAGGAGATCCTGGGTTTGATTCCCAGTGGGACCTTTTCGTGACAAAACTTTTCTGAATTGGTTCAGGTCTGGGTGTATGGGGAAGTACTCCAGAGTGATTTCCGTTGCTTTCCTAGTACAGGCACTTCCCTAATTTTGCAATTGATATGCTTATCTGGCATATTAGTATTACATTACTAATATCTTGCAATCTTTTGTCTTGTTAGTGCTGTAGGTCGGTAAACAAATTGACAATTAATCCAGTTGTTGCTGAATTCAAACACAACTTACTTATCAAAACTTCATAAAATGTAATGGCTTAGTAAATTTTTATTGTTTTAGGTTCTAAGGAAATGCAAACCAATATTGTCATATCCTCATTAAAGGTGAAATTTAGCTGAACATTGCAGTATACCTGCAAAAATGTCACATCAAGAACAGCAACTTTATGTAAAAATTATAGGCATAGAAGAAGAAGCAAATGCATCAGAAGATAGTCACGTGGATACAAACATAAGTATCAAACAAGAGCCTGTTGGTTATATACAAGATGAAACCATCAAAAAAGAGCTGTATGCTGATCATGAAGTTAAGGAAGAGATGGTCATTGGACCTATGGCGTTGCAGCATTCAAGTGTAGTCCAAGCAAGTTGTATGCAAGGCACTTGTGTTGAAATAAAAAATAATACTCATACTAAAAATAAACTCTATAAATGTAATATTTGCAAAAAGTGTTTTAAAACAAAACGACATCATAAGATGCATGTAATGAGTCATACTGGAGAAACACAATACAAATGTGATATTTGCAACAAGTGTTTAATTACAAAACAAAGCCTTAAAGGGCATTTATTGACTCATACTGAAGAGACACCATACAAATGTGATATTTGCAACAAATGTTTAACAACAAAAAGAAGTCTTAAAAGGCATGTAATGAGTCATAATGGTGAGGCACTATACAAGTGTTATATTTGTGACAAATATTTAACAACAAAAGTATCTCTTAAAGGGCATGTAATGACTCATACTGAAAGGACACCATACAAATGTCATATTTGCAACAAATGTTTAACAACAAAAAGAAGTCTGAAAAGGCATGTAACGAGTCATAATGGTGAGGCACCATATAAGTGTGACATTTGCGACAAACATTTAACAACAAAACAATCTCTTCAAGTGCATGAAATGTCTCATAGTGGAGCGACACCATACAAGTGTAGTATTTGCAACAGACGGTTAACAACTAAACAAAATCTTAAAGGGCATGTAATGACTCATACTGAAAGGACACCATACAAATGTGATATTTGCAACAAATATTTAACAACAAAACACACTCTTAAAGTGCATGCATTGGCTCATAGTGAAGGGTCACAATATAAATGTGATATTTGCAACAAATGTTTTAAAGCCAAACAAAATCTCCAAGGGCATTTAAGGACTCATACTGGAGAGTCACCTTTCAAGTGTGATGTTTGCAAAAACAGTTTTAAAACAAAACAATATCTCAGACGGCATATTTCGATGCATACTGGAAATTTTGTCACCATTGAAGTGAACAAAAAAATATTAAGATTAGAAATAGAAGTTTCACCTTAATTAAGATTGTTTTTTTAATTTACATGTATATAGTATGTTGTATGCAAACAAAGAATAGGTAGGCAAATAATATTTAGATGACAGTAGATAAGAAGTTTGTTACTTGTTCATTTGGCTGCTAACAGAATGACTGCATGTTTGCAATTTATGCGTGTAGTCATAATCAACTTCATATAGCCGAGACCTCGACTACTTGAAGTTGATAACGACTTCACGCATTAAACTGCATGCAGTCGAAATTCAACTGCTTGCACACCTCAGAGTACAGTTGGGGCTTATGAACATGAGTTTGTTGACAAATTAAAATTGAGGATTTTGATACTGATATGTTTATTTCCTTAATAAATAATAAAGTGAGCGTTTGGAATCTTGAATGTTTTGAATACATTGTCAAATTATATGTAACTTTGCTTCCATTTCGACTTTAACAAATACTATCTTTCTAATTCGTGAAGTACACTGAACTCCTGAGCTAGACTCGCGACAGTCAAAGTCGATTTGTTTATTTATCTACTTCAGGCATGCAGTCGAAGCTGGTAGCAGCCTAAAATATGCTAGTTTTAAAGACGGCGGCACAACGAGTCATCGATTTTTTTATTTAGTTTTTACGACTACAATTTACTTAATTTCAAATACTCGATTATGATCCTATGTTTAGAATTTGCCTGTATTATATTTCATATTGAATAAACTTATTTAAAATATGCTGAACCAAATAATGTTTATTCATTTCGCACTTAATAATTTTATCAATATCGACATTATTGACACGTTGTACAGAGTAGTAGATAGTCCCGTGAGGATTACCATTTTTTTTTGCTGTCAGGGCCAGTACAATCCTTCAGTTCTTTAATGCTGTTGGCCTAGGCTCCGAACTGTATTAGTGGTAATCATAACAGATCAGTTAATTGTTGCAGTTATGAGGGGCCGCATAGATCCCGAATGAAGCCACCCTAATAATAATAAGGGCGGGTCTAAGGTTTCCACTGGAAGTGTTTAGTGTCTTGATTTGCTGTATAAGCAGTCTATTGTTATAATTGATACAAAGATAGAACAAACTCAAACAAAAATTCTTTCAATCCGGACTAGAACCTGGGCTATTTTCGCTTAACGCGGGCTATTGCTCTCCCAACTGAACTACGGAACGAGTTAGCAGACCTTACGAATTTCTCTATGTGCTTGCTGCAGATCTTTGAAAGTTTTTCTTCATTCAACCAGGTAACCATTGTCTATCTTGAGACAACCTGCTCATGGGTTCCTTAGCAGACCACTCGTACTAAGGACTCTAAACTAGTTGTCATGGCTTAATAAATTATTATATCTTTATTGTTTCAGGTAGCAAGGAAATACCCGCCAATATTATCATCTCCTTTTTAAAAATTGAAAGCATAAAGAAGAAGCGCATGCGTCAGAAAAAAGTCCCTTGGATACAAACATAAATTTCAAACAAGAGCCTGTTCGTGATATACAAGATGAAATTATCAAAAAAGAGCTGTATGCAGATCATGAAATCAAGGAAGAGATGGTCATAGGACCTATGGCGTTGCAGCATTCAGGTGTAATCCAAGTAAGTTATGTGCAAAGCACATGTGTTCAACTAAAATATGATACTCATACTAAAAATAATTGTATAAATGTAATATGTTGAGTGTGTGCGTTATTTATTTAATATATGCAAAAAGTGTTTTAAAACAAAACGACATCACAATATGCATGCAATGAGTCATACTGGAGAAACAATACAAATGTGATACTTGCAACAAGTGTTTAATAACAAAACAAAGCCTTAAAGGGCATTTATTGACTCATACTGAAGAGACACCATACAAATGTGATATTTGCAACAAATGTTTAACAACAAAAAGACGTCTGTAAAAGGCATGTAGTGAGTCATAATGGCGAGGCACCATTTAAGTGTGAAATTTGCAACAAACATTTAACAACAAAACAATCTACATCAGTCAACCGTGACCATGGGACCTGTAAAAGGCCCGAAACGTCGGTTTGTTTGAAAAAACAAATATACGCGATTTAAATCTGGAAAAATAGTTTCATTTCCTATGTGTAACAATCGCGAAAACCTAAGAACTCGAAACAAAACAATCTCTTCAAGTGCATGAAATGTCTCATAGCGGGGCGACACCATATAAGTGTGATATTTGCAACAAACGCTTAACAACTAAACAAAATCTTAAAGGGCATGTAATGATTCCATACTGAAAAGACACCATACAAATGTGATACATATTTGTAACACATATCTAACAACAAAACACACTAATAGGGTCGTATTCCAGAACTCTACTCAATGCTCAAGTCAGGACTTGAGTATAATTTAAAGCAATGAAAATCATACTCAAGTCTGCTCAAGTCCTGACTTGAGTATTGAGTAGAGTTCTGGAATACGACCCTTAAAGTGCATGCATTGACTCATAATGAAGGGACACAATATAAATGTGACATTTGCAATAAATGTTTAACATCCAAACAAAATCTCCAAGGGCATCTACGTACTCATACCGGAGAGTCACCTTTCAAGTGTGATGTTTGCAAAAACAGTTTTAAAACAAAACAATATCTCAGTCGGCATATTTCAATGCATACTGGAAATTTTGTCACTATTGTAGTGAACAAAAAATATTAAGATTAGAAATAGAAGTTTCACCTTAATAAACATTTTTTTTAATTCATATCAATATACAAGGAATTATTATTATCATTTTAAAATTCCACTCGGCCAATAAAGAAACTACATCAACAATATGCCTGCCGCGTTCGTTTGAGAACGCGTGTCTCAAACGAAGTTCTCTTATCCAGTTCATCTAGCTAAATTTAGGATAAATGACAACTCATGTCTCATTGTGTAAGTGTGGTTTAGACGAAGGCAACGGATCATAATATTCTTTGACTGTACTAAATTACGGTATTCCCTGTATAACATCCTCCCTCCTTCTATTTCCCGTCCAACTTCCTATATATGCCTTTTATCTCTGTCCTCTCACCCAAAAATATATCACAATCTCTGTAAAATACATATGAATCATATTAAATTGTAAATATTGTTCGTATATTACCACTATATTTGTACAGTCAAGAGCACGTCAAGCTTGACACTTTGTGCTTAGGACCGTACCTATCGTAAGCGACATAGAGTTGGATTTAGATCTTAAGTGTCAAGCTTGACGTGCTCTTAACCCTGTACATAATTATACATACATGTTACTAACAACTTGTGTTAATTTTCTTATTTCTCTTGGCTTTTCGAGGTAAGCGTTTTAGCCAGTGTTATATGTATATTCTCAGTTCTCTTGTTAGAACAAGAGACAAATATATAACACTGGGACAAAAGACACTACTATCTAGACGATGGAAACGTGGACCATATATTCTTTGACTGCCCTAAATTACGGTGTCCCCTATATAACATCCTTCGTCCCACTATCCCTCGTCCTACTTCCTTTAAATGCCTTTTGGCCCTATCCTCTCAGCCAAAAATGTATCATATTCTTTTTAGATTCATACATACAAATCATATTAAACTGTAAATATTAATTTGTGCCGTCTCTTTTGTTATAGAATTCAATTTGTGCAAAAAGCTCTTCTCTAGGGTCGTATTTCCAGTGCTTGAAATCATACTCAAGTCTGCTCAAATCTTGACTTGAGCATTGAGTAGAGGTCTGGAATAGGACCCTCAGTCACCGACAAAATTCTAACACACCCTCCATAACATTTATGAAACTAGAAAACGGACACTGGCAGAATTGAGTGACTGAAGAGGCTGAAGATCTTTCCAATTCGTGGGCTGAAGCTCTAACCACGTTAAGCCAAGAGAAATAATATAAAATATTAGTGAAATAATGTGGTAATTATCAAAAAGTTTACTTTGCTCAGTCGTGTGATTTTTTGTGATTCAATTTGGATTACATTTGTATGAACTTTATTATTACAAGAACTGGCCAGAAACTTAAAAATAGAATACAAGTACTGTCTGCTTCGTTAAGGTAAAACTTGTGCTGTGTCTCTTCTCAGGCGAGGGTTTGGGACTTTTCACACACACATGACACATTTTCCGAAGGTTTCCGAACCTTCTTCGACATGCAGGTTTCATTAAAATTTAAAATTAAATTTCGCACATAATTTCAGATCATCTGCGTGAGACACGGTAGGTCAAACCATTAGACTACCAGGGCTGTCTAACTTATGGCTTAACAATTACTTGATCAACATAAAATGGTAAAACGAAAATACCATTGGTGAAACGTCTCAACGGATTTATTTTACATTTGCTCAATTATTAATTTTGTGGAATGTATATAAATTGAGATGCATAGTATTTCACATAAAGTTATCCCAACATTGGAATGGCATGTCTTAGGTATGAGAAGTTCACATCTGTAATTTGGTGTATAGAAACTAAGAATGTGTTAACTGTTGTAATCTATTGGTGTTCATCATACGAGTGTACATAACACTCGTATGATGTTAAGTAAGAGCGGATCTGACTGACATTTTCACTGAAAGTGTTTGGTATCTTGATTTGTTTAATAACCAGTCTATGTTATAATTTATACAAAAAATGAAGAAACCCCAGGGAATGGTACCAGGGATTGTTTAGCCTAACGCAGGATATTGCTCTCCCAACTGAGCTACGGAACAGGTTAGCAGACCTTATGAATTTCTCTATGTGCTCTCTGCAGATCTTTATTTTTGGTTTTAAATTCTTTTTTCGCCGTAGACCCAGCTGTGAGAAAACTATGAAAGTTTTCTCTTTACTCAACCAAGTAATACTATCTTGAGATAATCTGCCCTTGAGTTCAATAGCCGACGCTCATACTAAGGACTCTAAACGTTGGCCGTGTTCTAGTACTCTTAAGCTTGAACCTAGTTGTTGTGGCATAATAATTTTTACTAACTTTTTATTGTTTCAGGCTCCAAGCAAATACACACCAATATTGTCATTTCCTCTTTAAAGGTGAACTGAAAAACACCTGTAAAATGTCACATCTAGAACAACAACTTCATATAAAAATTGAAAGCATAAAAGAAGAAGCAGATGCATTCGAAGAAGATCCCTTGGATACAAATATAAATTTGAAACAAGAGCCTGTTGTTGATATAAAAGATGAAATTGTCAAAAAAGAGCTGTATGCAGATCATGAAATAAAGGAAGAGATTGTCATAGGACCTGTGGTGTTGCAGCATTTGACGTCGAACTTTGTGCAGAGCACATGTGTTGAAATAAAAAATGATACTCGTACTAAAAAGAATCCCTATAAATGTAATATTTGCAAAAAGTGTTTTAAAACACAACTACTTTATAAAATGCATGCAATGAGGCATATACACAAATGTGAAATTTGCAACAAATGTTTAACATCAAAACAAGGTCTTAAAGGACATTTAAGGTCTCACACTACAGAGATACTATACAAATGTGATATTTGTAACAGATGTTTAACATCAAAACAAGGTCTTAAAGGACATTTATGGTCTCACACTACAGAGACACCATACAAATGTGATATTTGTAACAAATATTTCCAAACAAAACCAAACCTTAAAGGGCATTTATTGACTCATAGTGAAGACACACCATACAAATGTGATATTTGCAACAAATGTTTAAAAACAAGACCAGGCCTTAAAAGCCATTTATTTACGCATACTGAAGAGACACCATACAAATGTGATGTTTGCAACATATGTGTAACAACAAAACGCAGCCTAACAATGCATTTATTGACTCACACCAAAGAGACACCATACAAATGTAATATTTGCAATAAATATTTAACAACAAAACAATGTCTTCAAAAGCATGTAATGAGTCATAGTTTTGGGGCACCGTAATATGTACAACTTAGAATAATCATGCATATTCTAAGCTGGACAGCATAATGTGATATTATGTTATAACATTGGTTGTGATATGAACCAGGACCGTAGACAATACAGTTAAAATATTCATTGTTTTTTAAATGGGACTTTATGGGGAAATCCGAAATCGTACAAGTTACAAAGAAACTGCCTTTTTTGTGAAACCAATTTTGGCATAGTCAATTTTTTCGTCAGTGTGAATTGCCATTAAAAATTAATAAAATGTATCAAAATTATTTCTAGTGCTAACTGACTCAGTTTCATGAAGGGATCATGTCATTGTAGGGGACGAAAAAAATTGGGTTAGCAGAAGTTGGTCAAATTTCATAAAATATTTTTTCGTACGAAATTAATATAATATTTTGATCAATTTTAAACTGACGCTTGACCAAATTGACTATGCCAAAATTGGGTTCACAAAAAATACTTAATGGTTCGTAAGACAGTTTCCTTGTATCGTCCATGGTTTTGGATTATCCCAAATTGTCCCATTATAAAAAACACTGTATCTATATATTGTCTTTGAGCGGCCGGAGAAAAGGATTTGATCGAGGTAAAAGGTCTCCAAACGCGTTTAAAGAAAGCTACTGTATGAAATATCTCTTTTGTATTTTTAACATAAATAAAATACCTAATATCTAAAGTATATTTCAAGTATTATTTATAGTACAGAAAAATATTACACCATACAAGTGTGATCTTTGCAACAATTATTTCACAACATAACAATTTCTTCAAGTTCATGTAGTGTCTCATAGTTCAGGGCCGTCATATAAATGTGAAATTTGCAACATTTCCCTTCGATACAATTGGTCTACTTTCCCGATCGGTCCACTTTCACTATTCGTCTACTTTCCCTATTGGTCCACTTGTTTTTCAAGATTCGTCTATTTCCCATTTCTATTACTTTCTTGTTTGGTCTACTTTCCCATTTCGCCTACTTCTCTATTTGGTCTACTTTCCTGTTTGGCGTACTTTAATGATGCGTCTACTCCGATAATCGTAGTACAGACTACTAAAAAAACCAACCTCAAGAGTTCATGGAATTACATCTATTTACTAAGTTTTATTAAAAACCGGATTAATCCCCTAATTTGCCGTACTTAGAGGTGGAATATTTTCTTAAAATTTAAATGTGACCAATACTGCCCTCATTCCAACAAAAAAATATCGAAATCGGTTCACTAACATTATCATAAATTAAATAATCGTTATAAACGAGTTTCCGAATCGGGAAAGTGGACCGATCGGTAAAGTAGACGAATAGTGAAAGCGGACCGATCGGGAAAGTAAACCGATTGTACCGAAGGGGTTTTCGCGCTAAGACGGCTTTGATATTTGAATATAGTTTTCATTTATTTATTAAGAAACTTGTACGTTAATATATCATTATTGTATGTTCCTATTTATAATGGTCGTGAGTTGTACTATGTACGGCTGTTTATCTTCATCTAAACGGGATAAAGAGAAGAGTTTCTGTCGTGTTCCGAAAGATGAAACGAAGTAAGTAAAAAAAGACTTATGTCTGAGACTCATTCAGTTATTGTTTTCTTCATTTATTTAGTGCAGAGTAATATATAATACAGATTTATTATATCAATACAATGAGATATAGAGGACAAGGATTCTCGAATTTTCAATTTGTATTGCCGATTAACATGTAGTGAATATAATTATTAATAAAAAAAAAAAAAAAAATTTTTGCATATTTGTAAGAAAAAAAATCCTGTTTTTTTATAGTTAATGGTACCAACACGGTGTTTTGAGACGCTGAAAACTGAAACTACATAGCAATAGTGCAAATTCAATGGCAATAAAAATTGATAATAAATGAAACGATCAATTAAAGAATGAACAACGTGATAAAATGTTTTATAAAGTTCTAAAGCAATTTCTGTTAAATAAATGTTTTTACTCCTTAGCCTTAGAAGAATACCTATTTTAATTGATTAGACATTATTGTATTTAATAAAATGAATATATTAATAATTAGAATATTATGATTGTTGTAGCGAATTGCAGCAGTCGCTATAAATCTTTTTTGTATATATTTTAAAGTCTTTTTCAGTTTTAGTTTTACACTTAAATTCTAAATTTAAATGTGATTGTTTCTGACGCCTTTTTCTGACTGCTGTTTTGCTTTGATAGCTACGTGGTATTTTCCAATAAATTATTAAAAGCTGTGTGACGGTGTGACCTCGTTACACCGTCGTCTCACCTCTTTTCCAAATTCTATCGCGAATAATCGCCAATTCTGGTTCTTTATTACGTTTATAATCATTAAATAACCTAAATCATGTGTAATAATTTATAACAGTCTACAGCCTTCGTGTGCCTATATCAGTTACTCGGCCCATTTAGGGCCCTTTTTTTAAACTTTACTTCTTTAATAAATTTTGTGGACCGGAAGTTTCCCGTTTCATTGCCGTGAACCTGTTCACGGCTAGTTAGGGTTACAACTCTTTCAGCTGTAAGTATGTACGGACAACGGCACATCAAACTACACATTTTTGTTCGAAAATCGCCTCCAGTGCAATGGAACAAGATACGTCAATGTGTAGCTTTGGCCTTGCTCACTCGTTGTTAGCAGCCACCTTTTAACCCATTGATACAGTCCGCTACAATTGTATTAGATTAAAACTTCGATGCCTGTCTCCAGACACTGCTACGCTGTTCTGAGTTTCATTAGTGCCAAAGGAGGTTTTCCATCGCTAAATAACGGTTGTGACCCATCAGTGGTAAAAAAATGCTCGATAACGCGATCTGTATGAAAACCAGAGTTACTCGAGTTGACGTGATTGCTGCCTCGAGTTGACTCGACTCGGTGTCTGACAGCAATCGCGAGTCGCGTGTAGCGATTTTTATTCATGGCACGAGAAATAATGGCGGATTTTTATAGTTACAGTAAGGTTACAGTTTTTAAACGAACCAATTCTTATTATAAGCAGTGGCGGATTTGCACTCTTGGCCGCCCTAGGCTCCAGGCCATGTAGTCAGTACCAGCCGCCCCTTACCAAATACGAAACGGCGCAGTGCGACTCGCCATAGTGTGAGCCTTTAGAATATTTAGGTAATTTGAGTTATTTCTTGTTATCGTCAGTGAATTTTTGTCACGATTGGCCGCTCTAGGCCCAGGCCTTAGGGCAAATCCGCCACTGATTTTAAGTATATTTTGGTTATGTTCCTTAATTGTTTGTTTTAAGCTAATAGCTCTATAGCCAATGCTCAATAAATAAATAATAATAATAAGTATATTCATATCAACTCGATTCGACGACAATTCACCGCGCTGGGCACGATCGGCAGGTCGATCGCGACTGGAGCATTCTCCGAAAGTTGCGGAACCATTTGAGTGAGAACGAGTAGCCGGGCACCGAACCGAGCTAGCTCGAGTTCAAACATAGCTCGAGTTGACTCGTTGTGGAAGTAACAAGAGTTAAATAACTCGAGTCGCCCATCGCTACATTACATACATTGAATGTCGATAACGTCCTGTCTCTAGCAAATCTTTGGATTCGGTTTTTTTTAGGCGTATTCTGCTTTCGGACATTATAAGAAAGTGTTTTATCTGTGTATTTGGAGAAGTTAGCTATTTATGGTATTGTCAAATTTTGTTCATGTGAGCCCGAGACTGTACTGACTAGCGATGCGCGACTTTGAATTTTATTAACACTAATCATTGGAATGGGTAAATCATTTGCCAAAGTCGAATCCAAGCACAATCATTCGACTCGAGTGGAATGATTTAATAATACCGAATGCCAATGCCATTCGGTCGGGTGCACGAGTCGAATGACCATTATATCGGAACACCTCATTCATCATATTCATACCAAAATATCCCTGTCCCCGTCATATTTACAGTATTTACCATGGCGTCAGAGAGGGCTAGGTGATCACGAGCAGAAATACTCTATGGAATCTATGGATTAGTACACGTAGTAGTTTGTGATTAGTAGGTACTACTAATTAGTAATGAATAATCATTCGAATATGAAAATTAGTAGGTTACGAATTTGACATTCGAATGACAGGATTAGCGATTATTATTAACGAGTCGAATAACGAAACCTTTCACAATCGCGCATCGCTAATAATGACACAACTCGATATTGCATTTGAGAGCACTCGTTTGCCTGTGTATAAAAATAGTATACCTTCCCACCACTCAAAAATGGTAGTTTTGTTTCAGAAATAATGCGTAAAGTTATAATTATTAATACAAAGATCGAACAATGCATAAAGTGTCTCCTGGGTCAATTCGCGTTTTTAAAATATTTGTGTTTATTGTTCACATTTTTGAAACTACATCAACAATATATAAATAAATAAATAATAAATATGCCTGCCGCCTTCGTTTGAGAACGCGTGTCTCAAACGAAGTTCTCCTCTTATCCAGTTCATCTAGCTAAATTTAGGATAAATGACAACTCATGTCTCATTGTGTAAGTGTGGTTTAGACGAAGGCAACGGATCATAATATTCTTTGACTGCACTAAATTACGGTATTCCCTGTATAACATCCTCCCTCCTTCTATTTCCCGTCCAACTTCCTATATATGCCTTTTATCTCTGTCGTCTCACCCAAAAATATACCACAATATCTGTAAAACACATATGAATCATATTAAATTGTAAATATTGTTCGTTAATTAACAATATATTTGTACAGTCAAGCTTGACACTTTGTACTTACGACCGTACCTATCGTAAGCGACATAGAATTGGATTTAGATCTTAAGTGTCAAGCTTGACGTGCTCTTAACCCTGTACATAATAATACATACATGTTACTAACAACTTGTGTTTTTTTTCTTATTTCTCTTGGCTTTTCGAGGTAAGCGTTTTAGCCAGTGTTATATATTCTCAGTTCTATTGTTAGAACAAGAGACAAATATATAACACTGGGACAAAAGACATATATAACAGGAATAATCTTGCTCAAAAATCTCTTCGATATTCCCTCTCAGTCACCGAACAAATTTCTTATAAACACTGATGATGTCTGTGAAACTAACACGTAACATTAGTCTCATAAGCCCTTTTCAATCCTCTAAGCACAAGCCATTCAATAAGGAGAAAAACTTCCCTTTCCGTTGTCTGGGAAGTTCCTCAATTTTTTTCCAGGTAATAAGTCAAATCACTTTTTATGAGGCTGAAGATCTTTTTAATTTGTGGTTTAGCTTTATTTTTTTCCATCCTCTAAGGTTTAGCTAGACTGGAAACTGAAGGACATGTTATGTTGACATATATAAATCAGACGTTATATGAATATATGGCATTTCGACTAGAAAACGGACACTGGCAGAATTGAGACTTTGTAGTCTCACAAGCCATTCATTAAGGAAAAAAAATCGTCTTAACTTCTTTCCGCTTTAAACATCAAAACACTTTGTAAGTGACTGAAGAGGCTGAAGATCTTTCCAATTCGTGGGCTGAAGCTCTAACCACGATAAGCCAAGATAAATAATATAAAATATTAGTGAAATAATGTGGTAATTATCAAAAAGTTTACTTTGCTCAGTCGTGTGATTTTTTGTGATTCAATTTGGATTACATTTGTATGAACTTTATTATTACAAGAACTGGCCAGAAACTTAAAAATAGAATACAAGAACTGTCTGCTTCGTTAAGGTAAAACTTGTGCTGTGTCTCTTCTCAGGCGAGGGTTTGGGAATTTTCGCACACACATGACACATTTTCCGAAGATTATGAACCTTCTTCGACGATCTGCGTGAGACACGGTAGGTCAAACCATTAGACTACCAGGGCTGTCTAACTTATGGCTTAACGATTACTTGATCAACATAAAATGGTAAAACAAAAATACCATTGGTGAAACGTCTCAACGGATTTATTTTACATTTGCTCAATTATTAATTTTGTGGAATGTATATAAATTGAGATGCATAGTATTTCACATAAAGTTATCCCAACATTGGAATGGTATGTCTTAGGTATGAGAAGTTCACATCTGTAATTTGGTCTATAGAAACTAAGAATATGTTAACTGTTGTAATCTATTGGTGTTCCCATGTACACTTGTATGATGTTAAGTAAGAGCGGATCTGACTGACATTTTCAGTGAAAGTGTTTGGTATCTTGATTTGTTTAATAACCAGTCTATGTTATAATTTATACAAAAAATGAAGAAACCCCAGGGAATGGAACCAGGGATTGTTTAGCCCAACGCAGGATATTGCTCTCCCAACTGAGCTACGGAACAGGTTAGCAGACCTTATGAATTTCTCTATGTGCTCTCTGCAGATCTTTATTTTTGGTTTTAAGTTCTTTTTTCGCCGTAGAGCCAGCTGTGAGAAAACTATGAAAGTTTTTTCTTTACTCGACCAAGTAATCTTGAGACAATCTGCCCTTGAGTTCAATAGCCGACGCTCTCACTAAGGACTCTAAACCTTGGCTGTGTTATAGAACTCATAAGCTTGAACCTAGTTGTTGTGGCATAATCATTTTTATTAACTTTTTATTGTTTCAGGCTCCAAGCAAATACACAAAAATATTGTCATTTCCTCTTTAAAGGTGAACTGAACAACACCTGTAAAATGTCACATCTAGAACAACAACTTCATATAAAAATTGAAAGCATAAAAGAAGAAGCAGATGCGTTCGAAGAAGGTCCCTTGGATACAAATATAAATTTGAAACAAGAGCCTGTTGATGATATACAAGATGAAATTGTCAAAAAAGAGCTGTATGCAGATCATGAAATAAAGGAAGAGATTGTCATAGGACCTGAGGCGTTGCAGCATTTGACGTCGAACTTTGTGCAGAGCACATGTGTTGAAATAAAAAATGGTACTTATACTAAAAATAATCCCTATAAATGTAATATTTGCAAAAAGTGTTTTAAAACACAACTACTTTATAAGATGCATGCAATGAGGCATATACACAAATGTGAAATTTGCAACAAATGTTTAACATCAAAACAAGGTCTTAAAGGACATTTATGGTCTCACACTACAGAGACACCATACAAATGTGATATTTGTAACAAATATTTCCAAACAAAACAAATCCTTAAAGGGCATTTATTGACTCATAGTGAAGACACACCATACAAATGTGATATTTGCAACAAATGTTTAAAAACAAGACCAGGCCTTAAAAGCCATTTATTTACGCATACTGAAGAGACACCATACAAATGTGATGTTTGCAACATATGTGTAACAACAAAACGCAGCCTTACAATGCATTTATTGACTCACACCAAAGAGACACCATACAAATGTAATATTTGCAATAAATATTTAACAACAAAACAATGTCTTAAAAAGCATGTAATGAGTCATACTTTTGGGGCACCGTAATATGTACAACTTAGAATAATAATGCATATTCTTAAATGGACAACATAATGTGATATTATGTTATAACATTGGTTATGATATGAACCAGGACCGTAGACAATACAGTTAAAATATTCATTGCTTTTTAAATGGGACTTTATGGGGAAATCCGAAATCATACAAGTTACAAAGAAACTGCCTTTTTTGTGAAACCAATTTTGGCATAGTCAATTTTTTCGTCAGTGTGAATTGCCATTAAAAATTAATAAAATTTAATTAAATTTTTATTGAATTGATATTCAATTTTTTTTTTGTGAAATGACTCCACTAGTTTGTTATAATTATTAATACAAAGGTAGAACACTCAGAAAAAATTCCTTCGATCCGGTCGGATTCGAACCGA